ATATATATAAGCACAAGCAATTAAAGGATTAAGATGATTAACATATGCCAAATAGAAATAACAATGGTTTAGAAGAGTAATTGATGTCCGACACGTATAAGTAAATTATTGTCTAAACTGTTACAGAGAATAAGTAATTAAATGAATAGAGTAAATGAATTTAAGTCCTTTGTCCAAGATTATGACACATAATCCGTGTAAAACACTTATGCCTAAATTTACGACAAAGTTCAGAATAATAAAATAAATGCAAAACAAGAATATACATTAAAACAACTAAATTCATAAAATGTTGTTTTAAAACTAATTTCATTGCACAGTCCAAATTGTCCGGTCATAATTACGTAAGGTCTAGCGACGAATATTTGAAGACTGTCCAATTCACGGAGAAAAACCTTTATTGAATGGAGGAAATGACTGAACATCAAGTGATATATTTTTGGAATTACAGGTATCCAATCAAAATAACAGTTTCTTTTTTATATAAGCTTGAAGGGTCGCTAAATAAGGGAGTAAAACGAGGACATGGTCTGAGACTCCCTTAAACAAGATTTTAAGGTTTTTATGCGACCTATTTATCTGCATTAAGGTTTTGGTTTTTCTTCAAAAATGAAATTATTTGATAAAGAAATGTATCTCTATCACCTCTTCGTTTAAACCACGTTGTTTCTTTTTGTATTTCCCCTCGGACATTCGTTTTCTTCTAGTTTAGGGAATTAAGTTATAATTTAGGGTTAGGTTTAGGAGTTTGACTAGTGTTAGGGTAAGGTATGGGTTAGCGTTAGTTTGAAGACCCCCACCCGAATGTTTGTTTTGATAATTTGTTGTGTATGTATTTTATATAAACGTATAAGGAAATTTCATGGTCAAGTTACATTTTGTTTTATTCTTTCGTTATTTACCAGTCCAAGGAGAAGTAGCCATGCAGACAGTCCTCTAACAACTTCTGAGAATGAAGTTAATGCACTGGTTTAAGCTCCTCTCATTCTTTGATTTTCCTATGAGAAGCGGTTAACGACGGGATTAGATAGTGCAATAACTTAAAATATAACCAGTTAATGCACTCCTCTAAAAAATAACAAAATTAACTCACTCAAAGAACAAGGGAAAAATTACCATTCATGTTACAACTTTTTTTTTTAGATTCGGTAGTCAGTTGTTGTTGTGCGTCATATCTTAATGTTTTGATTTTGTTATTTAAAGAATTAGGTATTAATGGCAAATCTCTTATTGTTTCTTCTTTATCTGATATACCTTCATATACATGTTGTTTTAGTTGTTATCGTCTCTCATAAATCTGTACAGATTGGCTTATGTTATGTATAAAAATGTATCTTTTATAATTGTATTGTTAATTGTAAGCATTATATAGGTGAGACGTAAATAAAATATTGAATCGAATTGAACTTTTAAATTTGTTCACCACTTTTATTGATTTAATAAAGACGAGTTAGATTGATTGATTGATTGATTGATTGATTGTTTGGTGTTTAACGCCACTTTCGACACTATTGTGCTATTTCTTGGCGGTCAGTTTTTATTGGTGGAGGAACCAGAGTGCCTTCGGTAGGAAAACTGACAACCCTAGTCAATTAAGATTGGAGTAGAGTACACCTGCCCCGTGCGGGATTCGAACTCACAACCTCAGTGTTGACTGGCTAGTGATACAGTAGTTGGACTACTTAGACCACTTGGCCACCGAGGCCCCGAGACGAGTTACAGCTTAATTATATACACCGGTCTATTTATTATTCATAAATGTATGTTGACCTCTTATACTAGATCTCTTTCAAAGGTTTAAGCTTCAATTAAAAACAAGCGACTTAAAGCGGCACTAGCTACGAGATATATAAAAAATCTGAAATGTGATTGTTTTTTGTTTAATCATTAATGAAAGTCAAAAAGTGAAATAATAATTCGCTTTTAGCAGCCAGCATGGTTCAATTTTGTCAAAATAAGATAAGAAACATTGATGATGAATTATTCACTTGCAAGTGAATAATTCGACCTCATTGAATACGTATATATGTGAACTTCAATTTAACCCCTTAGCTAGAGACGGATTACGCATGATTTGTGCATGTCAAGTTATTTAAAGGATAAGAATGTCAACATTGACAGTGAAACAAAGGTAAATCATTTGATTGACTGATTCGATCCACAAAAAATCATTCTCATACAGGTAAAAACGACGATTAACATATAGTTTTAATCTATAATACGAAATTAAACAGACCTAGAAAAATCCAACTGCACGATTTCGCTTTCCTATTTATATCTATATTTATGTTTATATCCCTTATATGGCCATCGGAGGTCAACTCGATAGTTAATTAGATGGCGTCTAGACTAAAATACACACGAAACGAAGTTACATATTATCGAGTCATGCTCTGTAAATTGTTTATTTTAGACTTTTTATGATTTGGATTAATGTTTAACATAGTCATAAATCAAATATGAGAATTTGAGTCAAATCGGTGAACATGAATTTGACAGCTAGTGACCCTTTAAATTAAATACGATGTGTGAGTGTTTATCTTGGTTGCAGAGTTTTTTTTCATAATTTTACTAAAGATAAAATAATTATCAGTACTACATTTGCCATTGAAGGATGATTAATGTGTATTACTAGTATTAATAATGCACTGTTCATAACCGATATAACATCAGAAAACGAATAACATGATATTAGATAGAATCTTCAATCGCTTATATCATTCCAATCGTTGCATTTACTTTTCCCTATACACTGCACTAATAAATTTTTCTGCTCACAGTCAATACCAGGAGATTGATAAAACCAAGAGTAATTTGATATTAAACTGTTGGTTTTTTAAATAATATATTTGAATGTGTATAATTACCTATATAATCGAAATGTTAAAATGTAGTTTAACAAGACAATATTGATACCTTTTTGATTATTATAGAAAAGCACATACAGAATATTGTAGGGGTGTAATATTACAACATAAGAATCATTGTAAATATCAGTCGAAGAAAAGGGTTCAGGTAGGTTCTAAGCACAAAAAAAATTAACAAAATAACAAAATGACAAAAGACACTGGTGAAGTTGAAATCATCCCTTCGAAAATTGTACAGATGACATCACGAGTTGGTTTATCGTTGTGGAATATCTGTTTCACAGATGACGACGGATATGTTCCAATTGTCGTAACCACAATCCCATCTTTTTTCCGCGAATGTGACCTACCGAATTAGACTTATCACCAGGTTTGTACTTACAAGACCAACACGACGGGTGTCACATGTGGAGCAGGATCTGCTTACCCTTCCGGAGCACCTAAGATCACCCCCGTATTTTGGTAGAGTTCGTGCCGCTTAGTCTTAAGTTTTCTATGTTGTGTTTCGTATACTGTTCTTTGTCTTTTTGTCCTGTTTCGCTTTTTGCCATGGCATTGTCAGTTTGTTTTCGACTTATGAGTTTGAATGTCCCTTTGGTATCTACCGTCTCACAGTACCCGCCGTAACTGAAACCTCAAAGCCGGCCCAATTTCAACTAGCAAATAAACCATGTTCTGTTCAAATGTCTTCATAAAAGTGCAGCTACACATGACGTTCTATTGGTAGTAGTTTTCCATTCATATTTGTTGGTCCTTACAAATGAGTTTGGACAGACTTGACTAAATATTGTTAGTTTTACTAGTATATACTACATGACTGATAATTTTCTTTTAAAAATATAGATTTTTTTTTTCTTGAAAGGAATACCCTTTTCACATTGATTCCATCCGGTGAAAAGATATCCTGAATTTTAATACTTATAAGGTTATATGAAGTTCAAGATTATAAGACTCATACATGTATTACTTCAAAATCCTTCCTTTTTTTACAATCACGGCTAATTAACAAATGACTTTTGTCAGGTTTAATTTTTTTTATAAATTTGTAAGAATTGCAAAATAAAAAATGTACTAAACTTTAACGTGTTATGAAAAAAACCATTACCCATTCATACTTTTGCAGACAAACAGAAATTCACAAGAATTGAATTTTGTTAAACATTCAGCAAGACAGCCTCGAAAAATACCAGGTCAGAAAGACAATCTGCCAGAATAATAATATATTTTTAAAGATAATTTCATTCAGACGTTTATTAGACACCAAACAGAGGTATGTATGAACAAACCGAAAATTGACTGTTAATCTTGAATTTTATACATCATTAAAAAGTAGAATTTTAATTTTTCCGTGAAAGGAATAACCGGTTAGACCCATTTCTAGACAATTGTTTTAGGAGAAATCTCTAAATGATCATCGTTTGAAAATATGGCGATTGAATGTCATATTTCGTACTTTTTTTTGCTAAATACATTGCTCAAAAAAGAAGGAATTTACCAGGTTTTACAGCACGTCAAACCTTACCCTTATCTAGTTATTTGAAGTTCAAGATTATTTTTACCCATTCGGCTACATAAGCTTACAGCACTTATAATCTTGAATCTTATACAACATTAAATCATAAAATTTTCGTTTAACCAAATGGAATCAATCTGAAAAGTGTATTCCTTTCAAAAAACAAATTCTACATTTTTAACAGAAAATTATCAGTCATACATGTTGTAAATTACTGCACATAAATAAAGTAGATTCTGTTCTTAGGTCAATAATTTTCTATCAGGTTACTTTGTACTTGTGAATCCTTATTTCTCATATATATATATATATATCAGTCAGCAGGGTTTAAGAACATCCGTTGTTCGACCTGCTACCAAGAAAAAAATGCGGTTTTTATCCAACGCAATCATAGGTTTGAACGTTGTTTTCAATTTAGACTTGTTTATATATATATATATTATTGAGCAGGTGTTGTTGAATTGTGGGTCTTATGAAGTATACCCCACATCTCCTTTATTTACACTAGGGAAAAACATGAAAAGAATTTTCAGTTATTTTTTTTCAAAAACAAGACAACACTATAAGTAACTGAGAATACAGATTATTATGATTTCAAAGCTTAGATTAAAAACCAAAAACAGTTTTACACAGCGTTTATTTCTTAATCCTAAATCAATGCATTTAGAAACGAATAAATTTCCATCAAATGTTTTTTAAATTTAGAGTCAAAACTGGAATATAGAAACGGATTAGCTACATTGTTAATCATATAAAGTCTTAATCCTATTAAGTAAACAGCATGTTCTACGGTAGTCATACTTTTCTCATAAGATTCATCCGCACTATATAATATAAGTATTACAATGTAAGGTAAAAAACTAACAATAAACAAAACTGTAATTGTAAAAAGCACTATTGTGATGCGTTTTTCTCGGTCAGGAACATTCTTTTCCGGTTTAGATAATAATGGATTCGCCCCAGCCGGGCGCCCGGTTACGTTTTTGAAAGCTTTTTTTAATCCTTTCATGTCACAGGTTTGTAAATTTTTCTGTCTTTTCCAGTTAGGACTTGGTTTTGGTATATGGTTTGGTGATGTGTTCCCGGACGATGTTGTTGCATCCAAGTTTTGTTTAATATTTTTAATAGGTAACTCAAGTTTTCTTGCTTTTTTGTTACATTTATTGTGTTTCATTTCATCTTTATTCGCCGCCGTACCATTCTCATTACTTTGCTTAATGGAACGGAAAGAGTCGCGTGCCCTTCGGATCTGGTCGGCAGTTTCCTCTTCAATTACGTCAAGTTTTATGGGTTCCTTCATTTGATATTTTGTTCGCATGTTTTTTGACATTTTGTGAGCATGGTCCCACAAATATTTCCCAACTATGCTATAGATTACAACAAGAGCTATCATACACCCAATAACCGTCATCAGTGTTTCACCATAGAAAATATATCCTACATACACTTCAATATGATCGCCCCATGTACATTCTGTTCCAAAAGAATCAAATCCCGGTATCTGGGTAGTTTTTATTCCGTATACGTATAACGCCGGAAGTGAAGCACCGGAAGCACATATGATGATTCCTATCAATGCATAAATTGATTGTTTTTCTGTTAACTGACTTCCGAATGGTCTGCAGATTCGTCGATATCTTTCGGATGATATTACCACCAGCATTAATCCTGTAGCAATAGCTAGTGTAAAATTTATAAAACGGAAAACCTTACAAGCAACGTCTGCTTGAAATAAATAAGGATATAGTTCATCGTATATTTCAAAGGGCATAGAAATTGCACAACTGACGATATCAATGGCCGCTAGCGTTAAAACGAAATTCCTGTAAGTTGATCGATTAAACTTCCGGTAGTATATATAAAGCACGTGTAAATTTCCAATAGTTCCAACCAGTATCAAAATGGAAATAAAAACAATAACCGGCAATCGTTTGAATACTTCCTGTGAATTAAGTTCTGAAAGGGAAAGCCTTTCTGTTAAATTACTGTCCACCCGCGATACATTTCTTGATGAATTCAAATATAAAATCGAATAATTCATTTTCTCCAAATGAAATTAAATTAGACTTTGGTACATCATTTCATACAAATCAACATCACACTGGCACTTTCATTGAACTGTCACTTAAAATTGTCACTTATAGTTGTTTTTGTTATATCCCACAGATAATAATTAGATCCACTGATGAGTTCTATCAATATAACATTATGCAACATAAACAATATAGTTCATATGTCAATGTCATTAGTAGAAATTGTTTAGACTTTTCAATTGGAGAACAGATTGCATTGTCTGAATCAGATATTGTATTTCCGGTAGTCTATAATCTATAATCAGATGCAAAATGTATTTGACGAACCAATCGCGATTGAACGTTCAATTTGAATGTATACGTGATGTCCAATAACTTATCTGGCAAACACAACAACAATTACTTTAGCTGATGTACACGTTTGAAGGACACATGTTTTGTTGCTAATGTTATTGTCCTTGGTACTTCTTTAGTTATTTTTGGAACTCTTCATCACATAAACCAACAAAACATTACATAGAGAATATCGTCAGACGTTTTTGATGTATTAGAAATGATGAAAACAGTTGTAAGAATATTTAAACACATTCCAAAGTAGAAAATAAAGAGTTTGTGATTGCAGCTGCTATATATTCATTTTGTGTACGTCGAGTTTACGTAAGTTGTCGGTTAATGAATGACCATTTTGTACTTTAAGAGTTCAAACTGACTAAAATCTTCCTGATTACTAATGTTTGAATAACTGTTGTCCGGGTATGTTGTGTACATTTTATGTAATTTGGTAACATCATAATTCCGGTTCACACTGTGTTAAACTGTAAACAAAAAAACATATACTTTCATCTGAATTTAATTTATTGATTGTAGTTTGCTTAAGGCTCGTTGGCAAAGATCATGTGCATTCACTTCTGCATACCTGTCTTTACCGAATAACAATTCAATTCAATTCAAATATTTATTTTCATAACAACACAAACCAATTTTCATAAATGATTGTTTGTTTGTTGTAAAAGGTTTTAAATGATTAACGATAGAATGAACTCAGACGTAACACGGAAAATAAAAATTTTAAAATTTATTTTGTGTGAAACCCCCAATGGGTGTTTTTTTTTTTTTTTTTTTTTTTTGCTTTTCCAAAAATTATCTTACTGGCCATGGGGAATCTTCAACACATGCTCTGAGCGCTCATATAAACAACGAGGAGCAAGTGCGGAGATTTAATTTTAATTAGATTGATCGTACTGAGACTCAAAAATTAACTAATCAAATTATTGGATTTGGTGTTTCGAGCACAAATTTTGTACTCCGAGTACTGAGTAAAGTTTTATGACCGAAGGCATCGGGCGTTCATGTTGAAGGTGACGTATATTTTCTACGCTCTGAGCACTCCTGTTGCAGGTTTTGTTTATTGTCTATGCTATGAGCGTTCCTGTTGATGGTGATATAGAAAAACAAATGATATAGGGTGTCAATCCATGACACAAAATCAGTACATGCACAGCAAAAAACATACAAAAATGCAAAGAAACAGCGCTTGTTTATGGTTTATTTTCTATGTTGTGAGCATTCTTATATAGGTTATATTCATTTTTATGCCCTGAGCGTTTCTGGTGTAAATAATTCAATTTTTTGTGCTCTTGACACACCTGTTGTAGGTAAAGTTTAATTATCTATGCTCTTACCGTTCCTGTTTTATGCAAAGTTTATTATCTATTCTCGTATCGCTCCTGTCGTAGGTAAAATTTGATTATCTATCCTCTAACCGTTCCTGTTTTATGAAACGTTTATTTTCTATCCTCTTACGTTTCCTGTTTAATGAAACTTTTATTATCTATGCTCTTATCGTTCTTGTTTTATGAAACGTTTATTATCTATCCTCTTACCTTTCCTGTTTTATGACACGTTTATTATCTATGCTCTTACCGTTTCTGTTTTATGCTAAGTTTATTATCTATTCTCGTACCGCTCCTGTTGTAGGTAAAATTTGAGTATCTATCCTCTTACCGTTCCTGTTTTATGAAACGTTTATTATCTATGCTCTTACCGTTCTTGTTGTATGAAACGTTTATTATCTATTCTCTGAACTTCCCTTTTAATGTAATTTTATTTTCTATACTCTTAGCGTTCCTGTTGTGGGGAATGTTAATTGTCTATGTTCCGAATGTAGGTAATGCTTTTTTTTTATGCTCTGAGCGTTCCTAATGTAATTGAATGTACTGTGCTCTTAGCATTCCTGTTGTTGATAAAGTTTATTTATCTATACCCTTGAGAGTTGTCTCATTGGCACTCATACCACATCTTCTTATATCTTCTTACCGTTCCTGTTGTATGAAACATTTATTATCTATGCTCTGAACGTTCCCTTTTTAGGTAATGTTTATTATCTATGTTAATTCTGAACGTTCCCTTTCAATATCATGTTTATATTCTATGCTTTCTGTTGTAGATAATGCTTTTTTTCTATATATGCCCTGGATGCTTCTGTTGTAGATGATGTTTATTTTCTATGCTCTGTGCGTTCCTGGTGTAGGTTACCTTTATGTTCTATGCTCTGGGCGTTCCTGGTGTAGGTTACCTTTATTTTCTATGCTCTGAGCGTTCCTTGTGTAGGTTACCTTTATTTTCTATGCTCTGAGCGTTCCTAGTGTAGGTTACCTTTATTTTCTATGCTCTGAGCGTTCCTGGTGTAGGTTACCTATATTTTCTATGCTCTGAGCGTTCCTGGTGTAGGTTACCTTTATTTTCTATGCTCTGATCGTTCCTGGTGTCGGTTACCTTTATTTTCTATGCTCTGAGCGTTCCTGGTGTAGGTTACCTTCATTTTCTATGCTCTGGGCGTTCCTGGTGCAGGTTACCTTTATTTTTTATGCTCTGATCGTTTCTCTTGTATATAGTTTCTTTTTTGTATTTTCTGTTCCTTTTATAATTAACTTTATGTTCTTTGCGCTTAGCGTTCCTATTGCATGTAATGTAAATTATCTATGCTTTGAGTATGACTGTTGGAATTTAAGCTTATTTTCTGTTATCTGAGCGTTCCTGTTGTATGTAGTATCTATTTGTATGTTATGACCATTCTTTGTGTGTGTTATGTTTATTTTAAATGCTCTGAGTGTTCTTGTTGGAAGTAATTGTACTCTGATTGTTCCTGTTTTATGTTAGTATGCTCTAAGTGTACCTGTTGAAGGTAATTATGCTCCGAGCATAATTACCTTCAACAGGGACACTTATAGCATTATTGTTTGTACGATATTAGCATTTCTGTTGTAGATAATGTTTATTTTCTAATAGAAGGTCTACTGGTGACTTTGAGATGAAGAACAGTAATAAAAGCGTTGCTCCTTTGATTTAGGGTTTACACGTTCTTGTAGTGATTTTGTGTCATGAATTTATTATAATAGATGACATTATCTTTTTGTTTCCGCTTTATCTGACAAACTGTTTGTGAGGGTGTCATTGAACCTCATATTTCGGATATGATACTCAACATGATTGTATATATTGTACGGAAATTATTTCAAGTACGCAACATAATTTATACCCTACGAAAGTTGATTTAAGGTTAAAAATTTGGACAAATTGGATCTTATCGTGTCAAATTTTGGTATTGAAAAGATAAAAAACACCAATTACATTGTACTTGTTGAATTTTAGTTATTTGTTAAACGACCAGTGGCCAGTATTACATACAGATTCATATAATTACCATTTACTGAATAAAAACAATATCAAACTCTTGAAGGGTTTTAATATCCGAGTGCAAATTTTGTATACCACATCTAAACACACCATCTTCCATAGATTTAATGTATCGACAGTTAAAATGGTGAAGTATAATATCATTTTTGAAAATTCATGGCAACATTCCGCATTTAATCTACCATAAAAAAATGCAAAAAAGGGGCATGAAAATGTCACATGTTCCCCAAAATAGGGTTCAAAGTAGAATTTCAACCCCTTTCAGTGATTCCATATCTGAAACTATTGACATTATTTATCAAGTATCAAATAAAAAATGCGTGTCTTTTGCCTCGTTTTTTTCGTTAAATTGAATCATAAAGTTCGTGAGGCAAGAAGCTGGGAAAAAACATCACACTTCTGTCTAGAACACACCTAACTGTGGAGTGCTACCTCAATCAACAAGTAAGAAATTATCAACTGATATATAGTTGATATATATGTTAATTTGTGTGAGTACTGCGTTCAGATAAAATACCAGCCACTGGATTTTACAACAGTTTTAAAATAATAAGAGAAAAAAAACAGTTTGGATATTGATACTTGCTTGCTTGTACGCTTTAGCTGCGAACAAACTATGAACTATGCAATAGTTCAATATTTTTGCATATTTGATTTGGGAGAAATAAGGAGGGGGTATTGCTTTTGGTTTTTTTTTTACATACAATCCCAAAAAGTATCAAGTTTTCCAAAATATAATTTTTTTGTTCTAATTGGCTGACTGTGCGGTATGGGCTTTGCTCATTGTTGAAGGCCGTACGGTGACCTATAGTTAATTTCTGTGTCATTTGGTCTCTTGTGGAGAGTTGTCTCATTGGCAATCATACCACATCTTCTTTTTTATATTAACTTAAATCATCTAGTCCGTGACGGTTCTGCCTGTTTTGGTTTTTATGTTTTATTTATGCTCCAAATGATTTTTGTGTATTTGGCATTTCAAACATTAGACATTAAGTGTGCCAGATAAAAGTTATTCTTGCAACACACACTGTGCTCATCAAAATTACTATCGTTTACTAATCATGTAGATGTATATTTGTACTAGTAAGTATGTTATTTTAGTTTATTGTTGTAAGATGCGATATCATCCTTGTAGCTGTTCTTTAATTTGTTTCATTTTCCAGTTTAAGCACACCTGTTTATCATGCTGTCAATGATTTGTTTAATATATGAGGAGAGTGACACCGGGTAGCTCATTTGCCAAATCCCGCTTTTTTTTGCATTTTTTTATCACTTCCTACTTTTTTTCATTCATTTTCCCAGATCCCATTAATATACCCTATATCCCACATCCCTACCTTGTTTACCCCCAAAGTCCCACACCCCCTTAGCGTGTCATCCCCTGTTATTAAGTCTCTCAGGGTTTTTACATTTAGCTTACATAATAAGGGAGCTACCATTTGATTTTTATGGGGGGGGGGGGGGGGCTAGGATGAAATTTGAAAAAAAAGGCAGGACAGGAGTTTTGAGTAAAAAAAAGGCAGGATGAGACACTTGCAAAAAAAAAAAGTCAGGATAAACTTTAAAAAAAATGCAGGACAAAATTTTTCATCCTAGCCCCCCCCCCCCCCCCCCCCCTAAAAATTAAATGGTAGCTCCCTTTCATAATGATTAATTTTCCAGAAACAACCGTTGTGCTCATCAACTTGAGAATCCTATCATATTTATGGTAACGATCGAGTTTCAGTTTGCAATTCAGGAATTTCATTTAGTCTTGCTGTCAAAACATGACATTAATCATTCCCATGCTACTAAGTTTTTGTCCAATAATTGTAAGTTTTACAGTTTTCAAAAAACAGAAAGGAATGAATAAAACAAACCACGGAACTTGAAATCCCAACTTTTCCGAGAAACCGTCTATATGTATTGTAAATAAAATTGAGAATGGAAATGGGGAATATGTCAAAGAGACAACAACCCGACCAAAGAGCAGAAAACAGCCGAAGACCACCAATGGGTCTTCAATGCAGAGGAGGTGGTCCTCAGCTGGCCCCTAAATAAAATTGTGTGCTAGTTCAGTGAAAATGGACGTCACACTAAACTCCAAATCATATAAATTCCATTTCGAAATTTCATGATTTGTGTTTGTTGTCCGTTTTTTTTTTCTTGCGATTTTTATTTCGTTTAAAACTTAGTGAGGATTGGAACACCAATGTGGAACGCTTTTATATCACAATAGGTACATGAGGTACTGCAAAAATAATAGGTGGAATTGACTAATATTGCCAATTTTACCCTTAGAAGCTCACAGTACGGCTATATTTTTATTTTACTACAAACAGACCTTTTTATCGACAACAACAATTTTCGTATTAATAACAAGAAAATAAACAAATAGATTAATTATTAAAAATATATTTCGGTCAACATTTTTACACCCCAATGAAATTATAAAAAAACTGGCAAAGCCTGTCAGGCCCGTAGCCAGGAATTTTCAAGTGGGAGGAGGGGGGTTACTGACTTGCGTCAAACAAAACCTCAACTGTAATAGTTACAGTTCAAACAGAACATTGACTTTAATAGTGCTTATATACTTTCAAATACGGGTACCTCGACCCCGCCCCCCTTGGTTACGGGCCTGCCATTCAATTCTTAAGTAAAAAATATTCTTTTTTCGCTCACGAGAAACACAAATTCTCTGTCCTCTCTGGTTTAGTGATAGAAATTGTCTAAAATGTGTATATATTGCAGTTCTTTAAAATTTGCTGATAAGTAAAAATACTTAGTTTTACGTACCTGTGTATATATATATATATATATATCTGACACATTACATTCCCTTGTTCATGTTTATTATGATTCCTCACATCACATATATCTTCATACATATATCTCTTCGTGCAAAATCTACACCCTTAGACTTAAATTTCACACGATCCTAATAATTAGCAGCTACATTCATGTAAAATGTGAAAATATAGATTTTTATCTCTAGATTTTCTTTGATGAAGATAGATTTAAGTGGAGTTAACATTCCATAATTATATTTTCACCGCATATTTCACTGCTCTCTATGAAAATGATGAAAGATATTTCAGCGCCTATAACTATTAAAAGATTTTTATGAATTAACACATAAATTGCTTTATCGCTTTTATCTCATCAATTTGAACACTTATTGTACCATGTGTACGATGGTAGACAAAATAATGTTTATTCACTCAATATTTGAAGTTTTAATCAAATTTCCATTTGTTGAATCAATTAATAATGGTTCTTGTTGTCTGCTGCAAAAAGCTCTCTCTAAAATGATAAATTGTATGCAGAACTTTGATCTGTAAACAAAGTTTGTAGTGGATCAATAGTTTTGTTTACATTGTTTGGCATCTTATGCAAATAACTTGGAAATTTTGGAAGAGCTATTATTGTCTGCTCATCTTTAATATCGTCTGCTAATTTTCAAACTCGTCTGCTTATATTTAATGGAAGGTAGCCGACGGGGTGTTCTCAAGATACAGCAATTCAAACTACCTTTGTTCGTCCTCTTTTTACACTATTCTGACAATAATTTTGAACGCAAAGTTCCCTGAATCATATTAAAACGAAAATATGCCATTATAAATATTCATTCCAAATTCCAAGAATAAAAAATGAATTCAAAGAAAAAGCCGGTATTCACTTTAAAATTAAGTCAACTCTTCAGCAACATCTGCAATAATAAGAATCTATTGAAGTAAGTATAAATTAGGTAATTTTATAGAACAGAGAGTCGACTCGACTTCTCACCTGCTAATGAGAAGTGAAGCAATTAATGCTGCTCATGTCAGGCAGAATGTGTGGTTTACCGTTTCAGGTTTGCGTGACAGACGAGAACTAAAAATAGCTAAACTACAATAATTTCACCTTGTGTATGTTAAACTTGTAGAATATATTTTGATGAATGGATGGATGGTTGGGTGGCTGTTTATCATCCAGTGGTAAAAACGAGAACATGTTATGGATATAAACCCTGCTTTGTAATAGACCGATACGCTGAGCCGGATTTTTCAAGTGTTAGTTCACAAAGCAACAGTCCCGCAGGACTACCCGGACACATTATTCTGGCTCCGGGCAGACCAGTCTTTGATGTAACTCCTAAATGCCGCGTAGTAATTAAGTGGATAAGCAGCAATGCAATGCCAATTTTCAAGTCTTTGGTTTGACCCAGTCGAACCCAAGACCTCTTGCACTAGAGGCGAACACGTTACCACAATACCACCGTTGATTTTTTTTTTTAGTAAAATGTAAAGTCGATGATTAAATACAAATGTAACTTATCACGCCATCTTTGTTATGGACGTTCCTTTGTGTAAATCACCATATGCAAAAATTTGAAATGTATGACTGAATAAAAACTTTTAATCAAAAAGTACATATATATAAAAAGACAATACTACGCTCAAATCAAGGTTGAAACTCCTCTAGGCAAAGTTGACATATACCATTTTGGCTGTTTGAATTCGGCTTTTTCCGTGCTTTTGTTTTCGCAAACGTTTTATAGATCTAAACTCACCTGCGTCATGTTTGCGCGGTCTTTAGATACTAGAAAAGTCGTCTGATTTGTAATCCTATTCCCGATTATGGCATTTTGATGGAGTGTACGTGGTTCGCATGGCGGGTGATGCATGCAAAGCAGGAGCTTCAAACTTACTCTCTTTACAAACACGGTCTCCCTCCTTGTGGAGTTCATGGGATTATTTCAGTTTTGTTTGTTACCCTTGAGTTGTCTCTCTTTTAAACTACTTTTGCTTTAATTTATATGTTCGGATTTCCAATCTTTTTGTAAACGTGCGGACGTTATGAATGTATTTCTAGAAACACGTATTGTCACGCATAGATTGATTGATTGATTGATTGATGTTTAACGCAACTTTCAGCACTATTGTGCTATTTCGTGGCGGTCAGTTTTTACTGGTGGAGGAAGCCGGATTGCCCGAAGAGAACCACCGACCTTCGGTAGGAAAACTGACAATCCTAGTTAATTAAGGTTGAAGTCGAGTGCACATGCAGCGTGCCTGATTCGAATTCACAATCTCAGTGTTTACAGGCTAGTGATACAGTAGTTCGACTACTTAGACCATTTGGCCATGGAGGCCCCTGTTGTGCATCGGAAAATAATATCATTTGGTTCCGCTGCTCACGTAGTATTAGTCCTCAGGGTGTCATCTGCCAAAATGTAGGCATTGCTTCCAAACTGGTATGATTAAAATCCTACATTTTGTATGTTAATTTCCATTTCATAACATAAGATTAAAATTCTATGTCCCCATTGATATCTTCCGGCTTTTTTATATATATTATTTTGGTTGTTTGTTGAAAAATTGAAAAAAAAGGATATGCCAATTATTTTTTTGAAAACAATGCACTATTATACAATGGGGTTGATGTCATACATGAAAACTAAATAACACATTACATAATACATCACAAAAATAATAAAGAAAGACACGAATTTATATATTAATCAACAATCCACCATCTGTACAAAAAAAAAGGATGAAATGGTCTTTTGTTTGGATAATTGCACTTTAAAAAAAATTATTCTTTTCCATGTTATTTTTTTTGTTTAATTTAGACTTCCCCTTTTTACCCTCGAATGACATACCTTAGCCTTTTCACTGCAAGCAACAAATTACATAATAACACATCATAGCAAACATATTGAAAGGTAATTAAAGGCATCTGCTCGCTATTAATGTAAATATAACAAACAGTCGATTATACAGAGAATAAACGAAAGATTTTACCTATTAACGTTTTAAAGCGTGACACTTTGCCATTAATTTTAACACGGATGATGATGATGATATGATGGATGGCTGATTAACAATTGTTAACGTCCAGCGGCAAATTAATATGCATATTCAATACGAGAACATGTTAATGTAATATGAAAATTAACCTTGCTTTGTACTAGACCGACAGGCTGATCCGGATTTTTTACGTGCTAGTTCACAAGGTAAAAATCTGCAGAAAGACATATGTCACCTGAACCGGACACATTATTTTGACTCCGAGCCGACCAGTCTTTGCTCTTACTCCTTAATACCGCGTGCTTAGCGGAGGAACAGCAAATACCAATTTTAAAGTCTTTGGTTTGATCCGGCCGTTCGAACCTACGATCTCCCGCACTCGAGGCGAACGCGCTACCACGAGACCACCGAAGCGATCCCAGCTTCGCGGAAGTTCCCTTTCTCCCCCCCCCCCCCCCCCCCCCCCCCCCAAAAAAAAAAAAAAAACAAAAAACAAAAACAAAAAACACGGACATTATCGAATAGGAGACATTTAGGTGGCAAAAGATATGATGATTCTGCATGGTTTGCCTCGTTTTCACATTTTTACGATATGACAGTATGTGTACATTTTATATTTTCAAACTGATAAGTTTTATATTAACTCTTTGAAATGCCAACTTCCTTGAGATTAATCAAATCATTTCCTACTTTTAGAAGCCGTTTTTTTTTGTGTAAAATAATAACATCTGCAATGTACTGTTATTGTATGCTAAAAAATGATACTTTATGGAAATAAGCTAGAAGATGTGGTATGGTTGACAATGAAACAACCATCCATAACGACCGAAGAACAAACATGTAAACAATTACAGGTAAGGGAGCAACCATTTAACTTCAAGGTGGGTGGGGGGGGGGGGGGGGGGGGGGGGGGGGGGGGGTATGGTTTTTTGTCTGAGTCAGACATTTTTTATAATTTTTCAACGCTATCAATCAAATTATTTTGTTCAAAATTTAACGCTATAATGTATGGGTAAAATCTTGATTCAGAATATTTTTTTTGTCCTCTGCTTGAACAGAATATTTTTTTTCATCAAATTGGGGATCAGAATATTTTTTTTAGGAAAAAACCATAACCCCCCCCCCCCCCCCCCCCCCCCCCCTTGAAATTAAATGGTCGTTCCCTAACCGTACGGTCGTCAACAATGAGCAAAACCCATATCGTATAAGCTATAATAAAGGCCCCTGTTTGACAAAATTAATCAGAAAAAACAACGTCCTGTTTTATAGTACAACGATAAACAAAATCAAACAACAACAAAAAAAAAAAAAATATGACAGACAGCAGCAAACGTCAACCATTGAATTATAGGTTCATGGCTTCAGACAGGCACATCAAGAAAGTAGCGGGGTTTAACATGAATGTGAGCACTCAACTCTCCATCTAACCAGGAACAGTGGTGTTACAGCACACCATAAGAACTGACTCTATAAAACGGTTGGGAAGGGCTTGACTCTTAAAATTCAGTAGGAGAGGGCTTGACTCATCAGATCGGTACAAAATACATAATAAAACAACGAAAGGAGAAAGCAACATTATTTATGATATGAAAACACTGTTCAGCCTTTAGTCACACAAAATCCCACTTATCTGTGAACTTATAAATCACGTTTCGTTTTGTTTTGTCATTTACCTTTCTTGACAATGCTCGCGAGCATGAACTGTCGTAACACTGTACTACATCGGTTCATAAATGTCAGTAACTACCAATGACTGTAGCTGTCACATAGCCGTTCTGATGTTCATGAATTCGTGCATTTACTTCCTAATGTTTTATATATTTCACTTTTATGATATACACAAAATGCTGAAGTAATGTCGTAAATGTATACATCTATTATGTTGTTACTGATAACCATTTTTTTTATCCTACTTATATTCCCGAATAAATTAAATGCAGTACCAGTAGTGCCGTAAATGCATATCATTAATACATATAGACTGGTTTTCGTGTCTGTTGGTTCTACTTATATCCCTGAATAGATTTAAATACAGTAACAGTAGTGCCGTAAATGCATATCATGGATACAAATAGACTGGTTTATGTGTCTGTTGGTTCTACTTATATCCTTGAATAGATTTAAATACAGTAACAGTAGTGCCGTAAATGCATATCATGGATACAAATAGACTGGTTTCCGTATCTGTTGGTTCTACTTATATCCCCTAAGATATTAAAGTCTTTTTCATTCTGGTGTTCTACGGTTGCTTCAAAAACACCATCACTTGGACTGAGTTGTAAGACTAATAAATAACGCTCCCGAGTATCGTCTTTCGGTTTGTAGAAAAAGTATAATAAGGGTTTCTTGTTCTGGGTCTGTTGATCGTAAGTCAGGTGTGTGTGTACTCTCTTTGCCGCGAGAATTTTCTTCAGTTTTAGATCTGCACATATATCTTTAGGAAGTTGCTCGTTTATGTGGGATACAACGAACGATGTAAGTTTTTGAATAACTGGCATTTTTGTTTCGACTTTTTCTGATGAATAACAAACACAGTTATGTTCGTCGATTCCTGCGTTTGCGCAAGATCGGTCTTCCGGTATTGGTCTAAAAAGGCTTATTCCCCTTGGATACGGGTATTCCACTTCTTTTGGTTGAAAATTTTCGTTAAGAATATCAATCATTGTTTCATGAATGTCAAAGGGGGAAGTTAATCGATCTATACTAGACATTAAATTTTCATGCAAACTCGGATATGTTTGTTTTAGATGTTCGGGAATAACAACAGACATCAATGGTAGTCGTTCTTCTAGCCTACCTATTGGTGTGTTTCTGATTTTATCGACACGTGACCCATGATCGCTCATGAAGAACAGGAAAGAATTATCTAAAAATCCCTCGGTTTTCATAAAAATAAGAAGATCCAATAGGTCATTATCTGCAAGTTTTATAAAATTAACGTAATTATGACTTAGTTTGTTATTCCAAACTTGCGCAAATTTAAAGTCATGTCGATATGCGATTAAAAATCGTTTTAAATATTCAATAGCTAATACATGCATTGGATTATCACCGTAACACAAATACGGTTGTCACGAAGCTTAAAATTCTTATCTTCGAAAAACTGAAGCACGTCTGCTAACGGAGCTTCAAATAGTTTCATTTCGTTAATAGCTAGATAAAATGGTCTCATGTAATGAGTTGTAGGAGGCTTAGAAAAGCCACCAGCACCACTTGTCTCTAAATTATATGTACACAATCGGGGCCAGTCTTCTGAAAAGAATGTAGCGCCACCTAGTGCTGTAAAATTTCGCCAAATAAATGGATGGTTGTCATATGGCAAATTTGGTATAACTGGAAATTCCTTAGTAAAAGCATAATGTCCGGTCATGACAGGAGCAAGATTCGGTAACGTTGTATCAGCAACCTTCGTATAACCTTTTAAAACATATCCGCTTAAATTTGTTTCGATATATTTAAGGGTTTTCGGAAGCTCTCGAATTGCTGCTAACCTTGACACAGAATCTAATCCAAACATGAGAATATTATAACTTTTCCCGCCATTTTTCTTTGTTCTAATTGTTTTGTCAGATCGGTAAATTTGTAAATGTAAGCGACTGTATATTTGCTTTTTATTAATAAAACAGTTCACATTTACAAAATCAGTTTTAACTATCACCGAGTTATTAAACCAAACTTCATTTCCAAGTTCTAATGTTTTGTCATCTTTATGCCTTTTAATTTCTTGGTAATTGCACGTGACAATCTTACCACGTGTTCGTGTTTTGTTTATATGCAACGTTGCATTATAGTCGAAATAAACTAAGTCAGTTTCCTTAGAACACACAATCGGATCTGGTTTCCAGTAAAATTTCATAATTTCCTTATCGAATGGGTTTGTTTGAGGTATCATGCACTTTGCCCAAATATTTCCGTGTACGTAAGACATATATCCGGGTCCCCAGTACAAATGGTAAATTGAATAACTACTTAACATAAATATTCCACCAATCAAAACTAACCGTTTTAAAAAATTATAGTTTCTTATTAACTGTGCTAGTCGACGTCGTACGACTCTCAAAGGAAACATGTTTGACGATCCTTGGTACCAGTATGCAGATGAAGAATATTCTCGCCTTTCACAGCCGTGTTGTTTTAGCAGCGCAGATTTTTTCCTCGACTTCGCCTCTTTGTATTTTCTTCACTTTAATTTGTTACTGGAAAATTAAATTGTCAAATTAAAAGCATAAAATAACGAGAGAAATATGAATGAAAAGTCGTGAATAAAAAAAGATAGCCTGCAGCTGCTTCAATATCAAAGTCTTTAATTTAACGTACAGACGGCGTGGCACTCTCCCTCAATGAGGCATCATACTTGATGTCTACATTCAGAAAGGATGCGAGTTTATACACCCTGAACTGCTAAACGGATTCCCCCTCACGCACGCATTTTACTGCTAGATGGGAGAATTTCACAATATCCAAGTCAGACATTTGGAAGGAAAAGATGTAAAAAAAAAATAAAAATAACAGATCACCGCACAAGGAGTTGTGATGCAAAGATAGGATTATCTTTATCTTCACCGCTCAGTATTTTTTGTTTTTGATTTTATAAAAAAAATCATTGACCAGTTCAGTGTTTGTGAGAATTCAATTTGTCTTTCTTGACTTACATGTACACAAAATGATGTATGTATATAGATTGGTTTAATATATAAACATCGATTGTTATACTATTCATCTGGTATGGGAAAGGATTTATAAAGACTGAGCCTTATATATACTTGATTTAAACAATAAAATCTTTGAATTAAATTAAAATGAATTGTGAGAAGTGTAAATTATCAAGAAGAATGAATTTTCAAATGTTTAAACTTTGACATTCAGCAATTATCATTGAATAAACTGCTCTTTTCAATGGTTCCATTGCCTCAGCTTCAAATTTACTAGGCATTTTATAAAATGAAAGAAAAACTGTCCAATACAGGGATTTCCTGAATCTCTCAGGCATTTTAAAAAATGCATAAAATTGCCAGGCGTTTCACAAAATGCCTTCTTGTATTTTAACTGGACTTTATTACTTGTATATAAACATCCGACAATCAATTGATTCATTGATTTGTGTTTGCTTTACGGCGTACCAGCATAAAAAGACCTCCATCAGATGACCAGGGATCTTTTTTTTTTGTTTAATTTTATCAAAGTTGTAACTTTAAATGGCGTTTTGAACATCACCACATTCAATGAATTTATGTGCGGTATGCGGTATGAATTTGAAAGATTGCGCAATAATTTTATAATGGGGATTTGATATAGGTTGTGTAACTATTGCCGTTAACCGGTTTGGCGGTCAGTATAAAAGCTGTGTTGTGTTTATTTTGTAGATTATTTTATTACAGAACATTTTGTTGCATGACTGTGCGGGATAAATAAATGCACAGCCATACCCGGTCGGAATGAGGACGTTAAATCCGATGCCCCGCGTAAAGTGCGTGCCACGCTCTCTGCACATTTAAGAATCATATCAACTACTCTCTGAGTGGCCATTAGCTGGTCTATCACTAGGCAAAGAGTCTGTTCCTATCCTATATACCGTAATTTTCCAGTGCAATTTCATAATCCCCCCCCCCCCCTTTCCTCTCCGTTGACTGACCTTGCAGATCCTACACGTACCTGTTTTATCAGTTATAAAGTTCATTCCCTGAATATGAATGACATATTTATCACTGGACGTTAAAGATATATGTAACGAATTTCTTGAAATTTTAATGTTACGAAATTATTGAACCAATGCATGCAGATATACATAACTAAGCTTGCTGTTCGGTGTGGGCCAAGGCTCCGTGTTAAAGGCCATAATTATAGGTCTTTCCACTTTTCTGTGGAAAGACCTATTGTATTTGTGTTCAGATTATTATTTTTTTCTTCCGCCAAATTTTGTTATCGCGTAAAATTTTTGTTTCGCAATATGTCGCTAAGATATTTCTTATATAGTATTATACAATTTATGCGCTTTTTATTTTCACCCATTCTAAGCCGAACAATTTTTTTTGTAAGAGTTATCTCCCTATTCACTGTTTATCAAGTGTGTGCATCTCCTTCGTAACAAAAAAAGATGTCGACGAAATTCTTTTTCTGAATTGTTCGTTACATCCTCAGAAATGTTTGGATAATTTGGATCAAAGCGATTCGATGAAATTTTTAAGGAGTTATCCACCTTTACCAAATAAATTTGTCGGTATGTTTTTTTAACTCATAAACCGTTAATAGTTATCAAAGGTACCAGGATTATAATTTAATACGCCAGACGCGCGTTTCGTCTACATAAGACTCATCAGTGACGCTCAGATCAAACTAGTTATAAAGCCAAACAAGTACAAAGTTGAAGAGCATTGGGGACCCAAAATTCCAAACAGTAGTGCCAAATACGGCTAAGGTAATCTATTCCTGGGATAAGAAAATCCTTAGTTTTTCGAAAAATTCAAAGTTTTGTAACAGGAAATTTATAAAAATGACCATATAATTGATATTCATGTCAACACCGAAGTGTTGACTACTAGGATGGTGATAACCGTATAACCTTGGAATCTTTTTATTTGAGGTCCCTAGGTCCTAACTTAGAAAATGAGGTCAAGGTCAAAGGTCAAGGTCAAGTTCTCAATTATGACTTTTCCTTGTTTTTGCATTTTCTCAAACACTTTTAAAGATATATATGAAACAACAAGTGCAAAATGTTTGCTTTATTGTAATAAAGGTATGGAACATTTGGTCTGAAACAATCTAATGGCATCTTATAGGAGTAAGTGCCCCTGAAATGTCGAATTATAAGGTTAATTGATTATTACTTCAACTTGGTCCGTTATAAAGCCATATGACCTTTTACAAAAGGTTGGATGACATATGACCTTGAAAAATGACAACCGGAAGTGACCTTGAGAAAACCGGAAGTAGCTATTTTTGCACTGGACTAGAAATGACTTTCGATAAACCGGAAGTGGCCAATTATCTCCTGGTTTACAAGCAAAAGTATATAGAAACTATATATTTTTGGAATCAGTGTGAAAGAAACTATTATATGAGACCGGAAGTAGCTAATTATCTCCCTTATTTCACTCAGAAGTATATAGAAACTACCTATCTATCGCATAAGTATGAAGAAACTGATGATAAGATGCCAATTGTAACTTTGAGTCAAATCAAATCAAATCAAATCAAACTTTTATTGCCATATAAACCAACTTATACGATTTGTGACAAAAACAACATTAACTTAATGACAAGAAAAAAGCATGTATAATCATATTAAACAAACTAATGAAAATAGTTCAAAATTCAATTTGAGTAAACATGAACTAGCTTCTTTTCAATAAATTTAAAAATTGCTGTGGAAAGACCTTCAATTGTTCTCTGAACAATTGTTTTTCAATTTGACTTATAATTGTTTACTTTTTACACATTGTGAATTTGATGGATAGTTGTCTCATTGGCACTCATACCACATATTCTTATTTATAAGTCTTGTTTGCACGTTTTTTTTTTATATTTATTACGAATCCATAACGTTTTATCGACAAATAATATTTCATTCAGTGATTGTTGATCGCAAGCTAATCAACTTTCGAGTTTCTTGCCGAAGTTTACCGGATCGTGCATGACATTGATAAACAATCAGCACAAAGCACGTGGGAAGCGTGACAGATAAGTGAATTGAAATAGACACGACATTTGTTTTTTATATTTTCCATGTGTTCCCATTTGTTAATTAAACTATTCCTTAACAGTTGTTAAATGATTTGTTGTATTAAATTTGTTCTTTGAGAATCTGTTATTACTATTATACCTTCCAGAGCACGTTTGTTTACATTCTTTCATCACGGCTTACCCTTCGCAATTGCGCTGTGCGGTGGCCGAAGTTAGAACGAGAGGTCTCTGCATACGGGAAAAAGATCGTCGAATTAGTGCACAGGAAGAAAATAATTCAATATCGGTACATTTATGAAGATTTTGATAATATGAAGGATTTTCTTTTAAAAGAAAGTTCACGTTCACTTGTTTTATAGTAAAACTTAGCCATTCAAGTACATGTATATAAAACATATTGAACTTTTTTTTTACATTTGAAGTTTCATATGACTTTAAACAATAAGGAACGATTAATTAAACATTCATAGAAACGTTTAGAATTTACATACGCTATT